CGTAGTATTTAAACAATTTTTGTGTGATATATTTTACTTTAGCAAAATGAAAGATAAAGTAATTTTAAAAATAATATTTTTAGAAAAGTTTGACGTGTTGACGATTAATTTAGACAGGTGCACGTGTAAAAAATAAATTAATGTTAAATCATGTATCAAGGATGATTTAAGTAGGACACAATAAGCAATCATGCACAGGTTAATCACTGTACTTTCAATACAATTTAAAACGTAGGCCCACCCCAACTTTCATGCTACTGTGCGCTTGAGGGTATAACAGATAAACTTCGACAACTGATTTGCGAATAAATTTGTCATCGCTTGAGGGGATATGCAGCGATAGATTTAGACGGATTTGCGAGAGACAGCAGACAGAAGTGATCTTCGCTGAAACGAAGAGATTTGCAGTGATTTCAGCGTAAATGATATGTTTGTCCTCATTCATTTGTGAAATATCATGGCTGCATATGAAAGAAAGCCACCAAAACAAACTGTATTCGGTTATGCAGTATCAGTATTCGGTTTTGCTTCAACAAAAAATATTGAAGGCTGGTGTATTCGGTTCCAAAAATTCGATCTCACGTTGCATCACTGGTGTATTCAGTTCCAGTTATAGTTATTCAATTCTCAACTTGTACATTTGGTAAGAGAAGTGGTGCATTCACTGAAGACTCTCTCCGCCGTACACCGATTCCTTTCCCGCTGCGTTGGATAACGCTTGGGAGAAGATTCCTTGCGTTGGATAACGCTTGGGAGAAGATTCCCTTGTCGGAGAATAGAGAGGACGCGAGATAGAGAGGAGTAAATTGCGCGTGGAGGACAAAAGTGGAGGAACAAACGAAAAGAATTTGAATGAAGTTTGATTTGTTGGAATGAAGAGACAAAAGTGAATAATGAAATCGGTTTGAGTTTTGATGTATCGAGTTTGTGGTGATGGATGTGTGAAGTAAGAGAGAATGGAAGCATGAGTAGTATATGAAGAGTTTCCTTGAGGAAGCAGAAGAAGCTCCCAGAATTCCATTTTTCTTTTATTAATAGGAAGAGGTAATTAAAAGAACTCATGAGAAAATATCATCTATTATTTTTGTACATCCTTTTCATTTTATTTTAGTTTTTTAATTAATTATCTACGTTTGAATTTGGTAAGAAAGGAGCTAGACCGTTTCATTCAAATCATCTCTCTCACGTCATTTCTTCCAAATCATTATAAAAGAAGAAAGCCCATAAAGTTTTAAATTTTCTAAGAAATCAAAACATTAAATTTCAACTACTTTCCTTTTATTATTTTGATGAAACCATCAAGTTTAAATAAATTTTAATTTTTCTGTCTAGATAAAATATTTTAATTACTAAAAAATAATAAATATTTAATAATTAAAAAACACTAGTTATTAAATATTTTTAGTCAATGTTGATTTTATTTTTTTTTAACTGTATAAATAATGTTTTATAAATTAAGCAAACTATTTATAATTATTTCCACTAATTTCAATCATATTTTTTTTTAAATTTTTGTTTATTTCTTTCTGACTTAGTTTTTAGAAATTTTTTCTGACCAGATAAAGTTAATATAAAGTTGAAAGTTTCATCATTTGATATTTGAAAAAGAAATTATATTATTAAATTATCTTTTAAAATTATTCAAAAAAATAATGTCAAACTAATTTCCACCAACTGATAATATTTATCAAAACTATATCGATGACACATCTATCTAGTTATTATGAAAGGAAAAGATATGTGTGAGAAAAGAAAAAGTATACAAAAATTTAAATTTTTACTTTTCAGGTATAATTAAGATTATTTTCATAATTTCTGTAATTTCAATTTTTTAATAATTACATATCCAAAGAACATATTTTACATTACACTTTACGAATTCTTCATCATAAATAAATAGATTCAAATTCTAGAAAATTTACAAGAATATTTAGATTATTTAGAATTATTTAAAAAAGACTGGAAATTCGTTATACTTTCTCTTGTTTTCGTCTAACCTCTTTATATTCTTTTTATTCTTTTTGTATTTTCTCTCCTATTTGAGAAATGATAATATACACAAATCTTTTATATTCATTTAATATTTTTTTAAAATATAAAAAAATTATTTTATTTATAACCATATCCTATCCTTATAATATATGTTAAAAAAAAATGAAAATATATGTTATCATACCATTCCTCTTACTAAATAAGTTTGAAATTGTTTTTTAGTTGATCTTAACCTACAGTCATACAATGTTGAGAATCTTTCACAAGTTAAAGTTTATTTGATTTTTTTTAATTTATATTTTCAATCAATCTTTGAGTCTTTACTTAATTGGAAATTAATTTTTCCTCACATTAGTAAAAAAAGTTGATAAAAAATACTATGACAAAGAATTTCAAAAATACTTACATATGATCAAGACCAATAGACATGATTATACCATGAAACCTCTAAAACCTGTCTATATATCATTTTACTCCACACTATAAAAAACACTCTATCTTTGTTTTCTATGACCTATATATATTATCATATATCATATATATATATATATCATATATAAAATTAGATTGCACTCTATTACTTACACCAAAATTAAACATAAGAGGAAATACTCTTCTTTTATATCTCAAATTGTAGGCTCTTCAACACACTAAGGTGATTATTGCAAAAGAATAAGACAAACACAAGAAAGTCAACAAAAAGAAGTGATAAGCTAATTTGCAAAAACCTCATATATCAAATAAATATATTGGTTCATCATACAATGCACTTTAAACACTATACATTTTAAACACTCATACAATACATAACCCACAACCATAAACTTTTCTAAACTCAATTATTCATTGATATAAAATCCTTGAAAGTTTTACACTTGTAATTGTCTCTATTACTCTGTAGAGTCATTGCCAATGTGTTTCACAAGATTAGTCATTCCCCCTTCTTTAGAACCTTGGAACAGTCTTTAGGCTAGAACCTTCTATTACTCTCACCACAAAACTATTTATCTTCTATATGAGTTTGAATGGTTATTAGAGTGTCAAAATAACTTAGAATCATAAATTTCTTCATTAATGCATACCTTAAAGAAAACACATGCTTAATCCACCTTAGATCATAGCACATCGTACTTGCTCAATCTTACAAATCGAAGCTTACATTAGAAAGCTTTAATGCATCATAATAATTGTCCTCTAGACCATGTAAATTTCTTCATGTTATATTGAAAATTACATGCTCTTTCAACAAGACCGTATACTCCCAAATGAGTAGCTTCTTGAGGTCTACTCATCCAACGACTATATGTTTTGCCTAACGAATCCACCAGTGGAACAAAATACCAATTAAATCGCCTACCAAGAGATGACTTGTGTAATCGCCAAATCAACTTCCATCACTTGTTAGAACAACTTTAACTGCTCTAAACATCAAAATGCCTCTAACTCCACAAGATGTTTTAACTACACATAGAAACATCATAAGAATGACCAGACCATACTATTATGATCACTGATCAACATAAACTCATATTAATGACTCAAGAGATACATACAAATGAAGAAAGATCACATGTAAAGGAAGAAACAAATTGACCTAAGGAAAAAGGTAGAAAAATTTACTTTCTCAAACGATGAAACCAATTGGTTATATCAAAAGAGCTTGTCACGAGGATTACTCCTACAATTTTACATCTTCAAACAAATAAACAGAGAGTGAGAAAACGTAGAGAAGTTAGGGAACTCAAGAAAATGCTTTTTATAGAGATGATATATTTTTAAATAATGAAACTCATTTAGAAACTTTTCTATTTATACTAAAGTGTTTTGATATTAAAAAGAAATTGAGTCTCAATATTTTAGAACACCATCAAACCTAAAATACAATTTTCTAGATCCTTACAAATAATATAAAAAAAATATAAATACCTTTGTTATTATTTGTTATTTCCTTAATAATTATCTAAAAAGTTGATATCAGTCAAACTTTAAATATAGATTAAGTTAACTTGTTGAAGACATCAATTCAGACTTGATTAACTTATTTATATTTAATTAATGAAATTTTTTTTTGGTAATTTAATTGATCAATTTAGGATTTTATAATAATTTTAGTATTATATAATTTCAAGTTAAATAATCTATAATAATATTTGAATGTATATGCGAAATTGAAATTCTTTATTATCCAATATTAATACATTCTGGTCCAAACTTTAAAAGTAAATGAAAATAGTCTTTTAATCTAGCGATTCTAATTTTTTTTACGTATTAAACAACTTTTTAGGTTAATATTTGAGTTAGAACGTATTAAATAGTGTAAATAACTCAAACATCTTTCAATCTGTGTCTAAAAATAACATATCTCAAATGTGTCAAAAAATTGTAATGTGTCAAAAAATTGTAATGTAGTTATATTAGGAAGACTACATCAATTCATTTTCTATTACAAATTATATTTTTCCATAGAAATAAATTTCAATTTTGAATTAAAATTTACAAACTAAAAACATATTTAATATGATAATTTCCTATTAATAAAATGTGTATACATTTTAAATTTTTGAAAAGAAACAGAGTTGTAATTTTATAAATAAAAAATGATGAGTTATTCATAATTCTTTAATGTTGAGGTTTTAAAATTTGAACATAACTTGTTTAAATAATCAAAACCTCTATATCTCAATAGTCCAATTAAATCACATTCTTAATTCTAATATGATCTAACAAGGGTCTTCTCTCTTTCATCCCACAAAACAACATGGTTCTTGTTTTTCTCGAAAATTCAAGAGATTTATTACGTTAAAGGGCATGAATTGATTACCACCATCAACATGAGTTTAGAAAATGGTAACTACAGAAGAATAAGAAGAGGATGTTACTAAAATCAAGAGAACATGATGCGTGAATTTCAGGATTATGTGCACCATAGTCACACTGAAACCAACTTAATTTCACAATACAATATAGCCTCTTACTCATTCAAACTTGAGTGGCTAAAAAATTCTGAACTGTAACCAAATGCCATTCTACGTAATAATCTTATTTCTGCGGATTGCTGCGAAGAATCCCCAACTCTCATTCCATTTGAAAGATCACACATAGCTAAACCATCAAAAGCTCTAACAACCTGACAAATGTGATGATGATTCAAGGAACAAAATGTTTAGAAATTGGTGTATATTTGTTGCTCAACCAATAACACAACACAAAACTTTCTGCTTCACTTTCTTTATAATTACCTGTCCCATCCGAGGTCTTCTGGCAGATGAATGTCTCACGCAAGCAGCAGCAACTTCAATCATGCAAACCATTTCACTTTCAACGTACTTTTTTCCTAGCTTTGGATCTGTCAAAATCTCAAATTCCTCACTCTCAAGTGCATCATTTAGCAAGGGTCGAGCCTGAAAAATTAAGGTATAACATCTTTAGTCAGAAAG